TGATGTAACATTAGCCAAAAGGAACAGAAACGGAGATTGGAGACAGACTGCTGCAGAGGGTAACGTTGCATTACCTAATAGTGCATTGTGTGAAATAGATTTGAGTCTCCTACCCCACCCCGAGTCTTGGGTACTGCCAGAAACATTAAACAGCCAACTTTGGACTCCTCGTAATTGAGCCAAAGCGGAGATGTCGGCTGTGGCCCCCTTTTCATTGGAAATCAACCATTGAAACCAGGACCAACCCGCTCCTATAGAGGAATTATTGTTGGAAGAATTATACAAGTACCTTTTGAGAGAGGGGGAAAGGGAAAAACCTTTGGTGACCTGATGTTTCTCCCAAGAGTGATCTTGACAAGGTGTAAATATAGGAGGGAAGCCATACTCAGGGGTGCAATAAGGAGAAGCCTTAAAATGAGTGGCATTAGAGGTCTCATTAGAAGGAGACAACGGAATTAACACCTGGGAAGTAATGGCCAAAGTGGTTATATTTAACTCAGATGTATTTGTCGGGACTCTTCTTGTCAGGCGTTCTGGAACCCACACCGGCTCCGTCCGGTCCCGGCCCCCGGCGGCACTCCGCTTTCTCCGCAGCGTGAGCCCGCTCCGCAGCAGTGCAGGCAGGTCCTTCAGCCGCGGCCGCAGCGACGCCGGCGGCTGCTCGCGCTCCAGCTCGCAGGCGCTGGGACTGCGGCGCAGAGCACTGTCCGCCGCCGCCACCACCGCGGCCAGGGCCGGGTTCTCACACGGCGGCTGCATCTTGACTGAGCCCACCGCCATCCTCATGCCCAGACCGCGGCCGCGGCCCCGGCAGCTTCTCTCATAAACATCTGCAAAGTGCTCTGCTTTACCTTAAGTCCTTTTGAACATAGCAACCCATCTAGGGCCAACAAAATTGGGCTTGAAGAGGTAGCGCCCATAATGTTTTTAGAGCTATAAAGAAAGTGAAAGTACAAAAGCCCCGCTCTCTCCTTATTTACAGGGGAGCGTCCTTTTTCCCACTCTCTCTTTCTTTACCGAGGAGCGTCCCGCTATTAGCTTGCGGATTCCCACTTTACCTGGGAACTTACTGGTGCACCACCCTGACTGCTGAAAGTTCTGGATCCTGGGTTCGAGGAATATAATTCCCCGTCCGGGCCACCAATTGTCGCGACCCCTCGCCGGCAAGGGAAAACACGACACAGGATTCTTCTTTCAGCAGTTTATTCAGGCCTTGTTTCATGTATCATCTTCTAGCGACCCCCCCGCCGAGCGACCAAGCATAGCCTAATAAAGCTTACTCAAGTCCAATCCAAAGCTGCCACGCGGGGTTTTCTCATAGGGTGTTGAGGGACAGCGTGCCAACTTTCCCTAATAAGGAGTTGTTTACCAAGATCCACAACGGAGACCGGTGCCATCTTCTAATGGCGGCAACGGTCTACAAACACGGCTCACCACAGTTACCCAATAAAAAATTTTTCCTATTGTGATAACTGAAAAGTGTACATTAAGAGAACAAGCAGTGAAGAAAAAGGTTGCTTATTTGAAGGGGAAAATCAGAGAACATAAGTTTCTTTGAAATTAAAAAAATATACGTCACAAATATTTTTGTGACGTATATAAAAGCCACCCACAATTCATTTTATGTAAACATGGAAGTCAAAAACTCAATTGAACCATTTGAAAGTAGATTAGTTCCTGCTTGTACAGTTTTGAGTTTCATGAGTGGTAGATCAGAAGAAGACAACATTGTTAAATGTCCTGAAGCTTAGAAAAGCCTTTCACAAGTTACATATTCACTATTTGCTGTTTAATCACAAGTTCAAGGCATGTGATGAAGGTCCTTGTATATCTCTTTCCAAAAGACAGCCTGCTGGACAGATCTGCTTTGCCTTCCCCAGCTGGGCTCAGCTTTCTTCAGCACCTCTTGGTTGCTCAACAAATGGTGATCAAAGCTATGACATTGAAGGATCCCAAACTCCTAGTAGGTCTTCATTAATTGACCTTTAGCAGAATGTGGCCTTATTTTAAATTGGACTACTGATTAATCCTGCCCACTAAATATTACATTGATGAGATAATTATCTGTCCATATCCATTTTGAGGCCTTCAGTAACACATCGAGGAAGGTTTACACTCCCTCTGCTAGGAAAAAAAAATCATTTCCCACTTATTGATTGAGTTATTTATTTATTTATTTATTTATTTATTTGGTTATTAAGTTTTTTGAGTTCTATCATATATTCTGGATATTAATCCCCTGTCACAAGAGTAGCCCATAAAGGTTTTCTCCTATTCTTTAGGCTCTCTCTTCATGCTCTTGTTTCCTTTGCTGTGCAGAAGGTTTTTAATTCAAAGCCAACCCATTTAAAGAAGAAATACAAATAGCTAACTAATATACAAAAAAAAAGTTCAACATCCTTAGTAATCAGGAAATGCAAATTAAAACTATAATGAGATTTCATCTCATTCCAGTTACAATGTCAATCATCACGAATACAAAGAATGAAAAATGCTGGCAAGGATGGCTGGGGGGAGGGGGTGGGTTTACACTCATACATTGTTAGTGGCACTACAAATTAGTTCAACCACTTTGGAAAACAGTATAGAGATTCCTCAAAAGGCTAGGAATAGAATCACCATATTACCCAGCTATCAGACTCTTCAGTATTTATCCAAAAGAACTAAAATCAGCATACCATAATGAAACATCATACGAATGTTTATGGCCACACAATTCACAATAGCTGAGTTATGGACCCCAGGTGCCCATCAACAGACAAATAGATTAACTCCACACAGTGGAGTTCTATTTAATCATCAAGATGAATGAAATTACTCCATTTGCTGGTAAATGGATGGAACTGGAGAACATCATGCTAAATGAAGTAAGTGGGACTCAGAAAGTAAAGGGTTGAATATTTTCTCTCATATGTGGAAACTAGAAAGAAATAGGAATTTTAAAAATTGTGAGGGGAGTCCCTTGAAAAACAGAAGGGTGAAGAGTAAAGTGGCACTAAAACTAATATTTTTAAAAATCCATTTTTCTTGACAGTTCCAGAGACTCACTTTGTTCCGGGCCCTATAATAAAGGTCCTTCCTTTGTCCCATAGCTAATACCCAGCCTACGTCTCATCTGCCAGGGGCTTTTCAGCAGATGAGTGACTGAGGAGTGGACTCAGGGAGGGAAAGCCAGTCAAAGATTTTATTCATCATTATATTTGTGAGTTGCATCTATATACATAATTAATTCACTTTCACTACTGAATATTCATTTTTATTTATTCTTTTTTAGATATAAATGACAACAGAGTATATTTTGACATATTACACCTACATGGAGTATAACTTATTCTAAGATAAGAATTCTAAGATCCCATTCTTGTGGTTGCACATGATATAGAGTTACATTGGTTGTGTATTCATATATAAGCATAGGAAAGTTATGTATGATTCATTCTATTGTCTCTCTTGTTCCCATCCCCCCTCCTTTCCCTTCATTCCCCTTTGTCTAACCCAATGAACTTTTATTCTTCTGTTCTTTTGCAGGTGGCAAAGATTTCTCCCATTCCGTAGGCTCTCTGCTCATGTTCTTGATTGTTTCTTTTGCTGAGAATCCCATTTATTGATTCTTGATTTTACTTCTTGTGCTTTAAGAGTCTTATTGAGGAATTTGGTTTCTGAACTGACATGATGAAAAGTTGGGCCTACTTTTTCTTCCAGGGAGCACAGGGTCTCTGGTCTAATGCCTAGGTCCTTGATCCACTTTGAGTTGAATTTTGTGCAGGATGAGAGATAAGGGTTTAATTTCATTCTACTACATATGGATTTCTAGTTTTCCCAGAACCATTTTTTTATTTTTTCTTTATTTATTTTACTTATTTTATTCATTTTGGTTGTTGAAAAACCCTTTATTTTTTAATTATATGTGGTGCTGAGAATCAAACCCAGTGCCTCACACATTCAAGGCAAGTGTTCTACCACTGAGCCACAACTCCAGCCCCCTAGAACCACTTTTTGAAGAGGCTATCCTTCCTCCAATGTATGTTTATGGTGCATTTTTCTAGTATGAGATAACTATATTCATGTGCGTTTTTCTCTGTATCTTCTATTCTGTTCCATTGGTCTTCATGTCTATTTTGGTATCAACACTATGCCATTTTAGTTACTGTAGCTTTGAGTATAATTTAAGATCTGGTATTGTGATGCCTCCTGCATCCCTTTTCTTGATAAAAATTGTTTTGACTATTCTGGGTCTCTTATTTTTCCAAATGACTTTTTTCTATTTCTGTCAAGAAAGTCATTGGGATTTTAATAGGATTTTCATTAAATCTGTATAGTGCTTTTGGTAGTATGGCCATTTTGACAATATTAATTCTACCTATCCAAGCACATGGGAGATCTTTCCATTTTCTAAGCTCTTCTTCAATTTCTTTCTTTAGAATTCTGTAGTTTCCACCTCTTTTATTAGATTTGATTCCCAATGTTTTGTTTTGTTTTGAGGTTATTCTAAATGGGATCGTTTTTCTGATTTTTCTTTCTGCTGATTTGTCATTGGTGTATAGGAATACCATTGATTTGTGGATGTTAGTTTTATATCCTGCAATTTTGCTGGATTCATTTATGAGTTCTAGAATCTTTCTGTGGAGTTTTTTTGAATCTTCTAAATACAGAATCATGTCAGCAAATAGGGATAGTTTGAGCTCTTCTTTTCCTTGAATATTCATTTTTAAATAGCTATATGAAGGTTCAATTATCCAGAGCCAGGCATGGTGATGCATACCTGTAATCCCAGAAAATTGGAAGGCTGAGAAAAGAGGATTGCAAGTTCAAGGTCAGCTTCAGCAATTTAGCAAGGGCCTAAGCAATTTAGCAAGACCTCATCTAAAAATGAAAAGGGGTAGGGGATGTGGCTCTGTGATTGTCCTGGGTACCAAATAAATAAAGAGCCACATCCCCTAGCCCTTTTCATTTCATATATATATATATATATATCCACTTGCCTGTTCACAAATGTTGGCTATTTCTGAGATTTAAGTATTGCCATGTTTCCAAATTCTTGTGTATTTGTCTCTCAGTGCACTCTTATACATATCTCTCTAGGATATATATCTGTGAGTGGAACTGATGGTTATAAGTCATCAACATTTCCCACTTTACTTAATATTATGATATTGATCTCAAAATGATTGTTTTTGTGGTTATAAAGGACTACAATTGCTCCAGACATCTGATCCATTACTACAACAGCCAAAAGAAGAAATATTTTTTTTCTGGTTCCTCTGAGGAATGAAAGAAACTTTCTCAGACACCTTTTGACTGACTTTACCTCAAGTCTGGAACTGGGATTAAGTCACACACCTATTTCTAAAGCAACCATTGGTAAATGAGACCCAGAGACCAGGATTTCCCCACCTTGGCCCTCTTGATATTTTGGGCCAGGTCATTCTTTGTTGTGAAGAGCTGACTTGTGCACTGTAGGATGTTTAGTAACATCCCTTATCTTCTACCCATTAGATACCAGTAGCACCCCCTAAGATGTGACAAATAAAAATTTTATAAAGGGCAAAACAATCTCTGCAACCACTGACTTAGACTAATCATCTGGTCAGGACCAGATGGTAGGGACCAACCAGCAGGACCACCACAGAGCCCAGCAAGTGTCAGTGCAGGGTACAAATGAGCCTTCCAGAATCTGGTGTTAAATCACCTACCTCCCTGCTTCCAGAACTGCTGCTTCTGCTAAAGTTTTCTTCCCAGGAGATGTGAGAGCTGTAACTGTTTCTGATTTTAGCCTGGCTCCTGGAGTGCAGTAGAAGGCACCCCTGGAAATGAAACAATTTCAATTGTGCAAACAGGCGAGCTGTAGAGACAGCTCAAGTCATTACTATAGAGGGTTTATTTCATTTTCAGGTCAAAATGTAATTGAAAACCAGATTCTAATATTCCTGAAGGTCCAAGACTCTTTTCAGCTCTTTTCTTTCAAGGTTCTTTAGAGATACTTAAAAATATTGCTGAATGTTAAAACAAGATGGACCTGATTTATTTTTCCCCTTCCAGTTTATATGTTCATGCTCTAATTTTCAGTCTTCTGTTTCAGTGACAGTGACATATACTGTTCCTTACAGATGACAGAATTGCAGTCAGCTTTTTCTGAAGTTATAGGAGTATCATTTAGGGTGTCTCTTCCTCTCATAACTTCTTCTAATAAAAGAGGAGAAGGCTCATCTCAGAGGCTGTCACAGCAGCAGGAAAGTGTACTTCCATCACTGAGGAAGTGCTCTCTGAAAGCTTTTTGTGGGTTTCCTTTAAAAAAAAAAAAAGATTGATGTGATTTTTCTATACCTTTATTTTATTTATTTATTTGTTTGTTTGTTTATATAGTGCTGAAGATAGAACCCAGTGCCTTGCACATGTTAGGCGAAAGCTACTGCTAAGCCCCAGCCCCAGCCCCAGCCCCTTTTTGTGGGTTTCTATAAGCTTGTAAAAATTGGGGAAATTGAGCATGGTAGCACATGCCTGTAATCCTATCAGCTCAGGAGGCTGAGGTGGGAGGATCACAAGTTCAAAGCCAGAGTCAGCAACTTAGTGAGGCCCTAAACAACTTAGTGAGTCCCTTGCTCAAAGAAAAAAAAACAGACTGGGATTGTGGTTCAGTAGTTAAGCATCCCTGGATTCAATATCTGGTTATAAAAAGAAAAAAGTGTCATTTGCCCCAGATGACACTGACCAGCGAACCCTCATATAACTAAGTCTAAAACTTTTCTCTGAGTGCCCAGCTTGACCAAACAAAGGATTCAGAAAACTTATATTCAGCAAAAGCTTCAACAGATGTTTTTTTTATTATTATTTTTAAGAGTCAAAGAATTCCCTCTAGATGTTTTTGGTTTTAAGAGTCAAAGGACTCTTAAAATGCTTCCCCTTCTCCCACTACTCGCACCAACCCCAGGTCAATTCAAGCTGTTTCTGAGCCCTGTATTCTCAGTCCTGTACTCCCAGAACAAGATCTGGTCTTTGCTCTCAAGGAACTCATGGGGTGGAGGAAAAAATAAAAACCTCTATGCAACAAATCTTTTATCATCTATGAAAAGCTGGTGTTGTGGATGTCCTAAAGAAGGACAGCTCCATGCCTGGGCTCCTTAGAGCAGAGGTTGGGTGTGAGTGAAAAAGCACTAGTATGGGACCTGAAGGGTTTCCTGCCTAGCTTTCCCTCCTAGCTTTGTGAACATGGATGCAGGAAGGGTATCATCTGACATTTTGACTCTACCATTTGTCATCTGCAAAGTAGAGATAGTAAAATATATGCATAGGACTGGTGTGATGATACAATGACTTAAAAGATGGTAAAGACCCTAGTTCAATAAAGTGACATTCCACTTGAATTACTATATAGGGAGTTCTCTGTTCCTGAAAAACTCAGAAGAAGCCAGACAGCAATATGTGTTGTGCACATAATAATAATTAAGACTTATTGAACACTTGACCATGTATGTGCCTGGCACTAGTCTTCCTAGATTGTTCATGTATTCTGCAGACATTTACTAAGTATTTACTGTGTATTAGAGATGTTTTAGGAGTTGAAGACAGAGCAGAGAATGAGACAGTCCAAGTCTCTGTCCCTATGGCCCTTCCAATCTGCAATGAAAGACAATGAACCAACTGCTATATCAGGAGTTATGAAAAAAAAAGTGTTGTAACAAGACAGAGAGGAGCTGGTGGTGCTAACCTCAGGTAGGGTGTTCAGGGAGTCAGAGATATACAGGAAGTGAGACTGTGTGTAGGTAGGTATTAGAAGAAAGAACTTGCAAGAACAAGACTGCCAGATGCCCAGTGTGCTGGAGGACCAGTCAGGAGTCAGCATGGCTGAGGCAGAGCAAGCTAGAATGAGAGAAGAGGAAAATAAGGCAATACACATGGTCAGGAGCTAGATATATAAGGCACTGGATTCTTCCGTAAATGTGATAGGAACCCATTGGAAGGTTGAAAACAGAAGTGTCCCCCAGCTGCTGTGAAGGGGTTAAGGATGAAGGCAAGGAGTGTGGAAGGAACTATTGAACAATCCAGCACAGACTAGGTCTGTGATAGTAGAAGTGAGAAGAGGACCAGTATACTGAGGAATTGGATGTGCAGTGTGAGCAAAAGAGAGTGTTGTGGGCCGATCACTCAGAAAACACTCTTAGAATTTTGTGCAAATTGGAGAGTTTTTATTAGCCAGCTGGCAACTGCCCCTCAGCAAGAGGCTATTCACTGTACAGTGCCCACCTCTGTGCACACAAGCTTTTTCAAGTTAAAAACCACTTCCACCTTGTTCAGGAGTCTGCGATTGTGCAAAGCAAGCTCCATTACAGAAGCTAAATTTAGCAGTTATGCTGGCAGCTACAATGTTGCAAGTGTCTGTCTGCAGTCACTGAGGATTTTTCATTGGTTGGCCAGGGGTTGCAAAAATAAAGTTTCTTAATCAGGTTAACTGCCCACTCTAACCAAGATGGTTTCTTTTTTAAAATGGAGTTACTTAAGCTAAAATCTTTAAGTATAACCAGAATAGCTTAATATTACTCATCCTATAATTTTACCTTATCTTATTTATTGATATCCTATAATCTATAGGGTACTTACTGATTAAGCTAGGCCATAACAAGAGGCAGCAACATTTCAGCCACAGCAACTGAGTGAATGACAATGCTGCTCACCAATAAGAGAAACTGTCAGGGAAAAGCAGGATGAAAGGTAGAGAACTGAGGGCCTTGATTTTATTTTGGCTACATAAAATTTTAGGATCCCCTTCGATATAAGTTAAGATGTTATGTGTGTAGCTGTAGACATGAAACAAATTCAGTTAATATACTTTTCACATATTAATGATCTTCTCAGAAAACTGAGCCACTTGCTCCTATCATACCCATTTTGCAGATCGGAAAACAGGCTCAGAGTAGTTGAGTAAATTGAAACTCTTTGGATCAACTGTCTCTCAAAGCAAAAGACATGATTCATAAATGAAGCAGGTAGAAGAATGAAGAAGTTGTCCATATCACATCATGAGAGACACTGCATTGCACTAGAGCAATGACTATTTGGGACTTAGACCACAGAGGTCTAACCACCATAACAAAACAGATTTGAGTTGAGACTCCCCAACTTAGCCTTTTCCATCACTCCCCATTACTACCTTTCCCACCACTGATCATCAATAGTTTTCCCATGCCTTCCCTGTCCATGGATACTGGACATGCTTAACTAGTTGGTAGTCAAGAAGAGAAGTGGAGGGGTTAGGGTTGTGACTCAGTGGTAGAGCACTTGCCTAGCATGTGTGAGGCACTGGTTTTGATTCTCAGCACCACATATAAATAAATGAATAAAATAAAGATCCATTAACAACAGAAATAAAATTTTTAAAAAAAGAAGAGAAGTGGAAAGATCTATGTAACACAGGATGTTCCCTGTGTTAGTCAGCTTTTGGTTGTTGTGACTAAAATACCTGACAAGAACAGCTTAAAGGAGGAAAAGTTTACTTAGGCTCATGATTTCAGAGGTTCAGTCAATGGTGGACTGGCTCCATTGCTCTGGGCCCAAGTGAGGCAGAAGATCATGGCAGAAGGGCATGCAGAGGAACGTGGCTCTGTTCATGGTGGTCAGAAGCAGAGAGAGGGAGAAGGGGAGAGAAGACTGTAAGGAAGATGCACTCTTCCAGAAAACATCCCTCAGTGACTCACCTCCTCCAGCCATACCCCACCTACCTACAGTTACCACCTATTCAGTCCATTCAAGCTAGATTGGACTTATGAGGTTACAGCTCTCACAATCCAATCATTGCACCTCCAAATATTCCTACATTAACACGGGAGATTTTGGGGGATGCCTCATATGCAAACCATAACATTGTTCATGGCCAAAGACCCCTAGAAAGAAAAGAGTTTCTTAAGAGCTAGAAGCCAAGGAGAGCATCTTTCCCCACTGTCTTCTTCAAGACACACCATTTCAGAAGGATCTATGGTGAGGAATAGTATCTTCTACAAGAGCTTGGTTCTTAATTCTCTATTTAGGAAGAGGTTAAAACTTGCTCAAGATTGGAAAGGAATACACTCCCTCAGGCATCTTGCGGACTTTGGATTTGCTCTCTGGTGCTAAAATCACAGGAGCAAATAGTAGATGGAATACGTCTTTAGTTCTGCCCAAGCTCTGAAACGCCTTTTGTGTTTCCTATAAATGTATTCACTCTATTCACTGGATGACCATGGAAACTGGCAGCAAAGGCATTTTTATTAAGTTCTAATTCAAAAAGCTTAATCACATTTTGGCAGCTTTTCTCCATGACATAGAAGTAGAAACCCTGTTCTCTCTTCTCATGCCCTTTGGGTTTGGGCATTAGGTGTGTCTTTGTAGAACATCTCAGCAGTTAAAAAAAAAAAAAGAAGAAGAAATCTGTCAAATTCCTAATGCATGGGTTTAGCTTTGCTTCTATTCCATGAGCAAATTCCTCAGCATTTCCTCACAGCCAACTTCCTCCATAGATCAGTATCTCCCTTTGAATCTGGAAACAGTCTGGGAGAAGACCTGTGAAATGTCATTCCGGAATCAAATACGGAAAGGATCCTTCTGATCTCACTCATTTTGTAACATGCCAGATTCTCCCACATGTTGGGGACTGAGCAAGGGGAGGAAAAGCCAGAAAGCTATAGGATTGTGGAGAGCTCACAGCAGGTCTACAGCTTTAATAAGAGACCAGCCTGGACCAGGCTGGCACTGAGACTTGAATGAAGGAAGGACACTTGAGGGGAAGTGGGGCACCTGGAACAATCCCAGAACAATTGCAGTGATGCAGAACAAGAAATACAAAAGAAGGAGCAAGAAATAAAAGCAAGAGAGGACTAACTCTGAGTATAGGGCTAGTAGGAAGAATAGAAGAAAGCTAGCAGGCTGGGGAAACAAGCCCTAGTATGCTAGAGTCTACTCACACTGGCTCATGAGAGCCATTGCTAGATTTTTCAGGATATTTCTGCTAAAATTATACTGGTCATAGAAAGTTGGTTACAGTGCACTCCTGCTACAGAAGTTAGCAAATCCAGGTGTCTGCCCCAGTTTTCCAAACCCTCAATGGCCAGTTAAAATTTACCAGCACACTACTGATTGCCAAGCTCTGAGATTCCAGTGGCTTGAAATCCCATGATATGAAAGATTCAACTGGCAAGATGATTTAGTAGCCAAGCCTCTTCTCTTCTCCTTATGCTCCAAAGGGTCTACTTCCTAAGAACAACATGAAGGTACCTGTCATCTACCCCCACCCCCACCTACAGTTCCCAGGCAGGGAA